TATTTTTCAAAAAAATCCAATCGAATTTGGGTCTTTTGATCACATATTCAACAATTTCTATCTTGACACAAATTCTGACACAACAAATAAATCTCCAAAATTTCTCCACTTGAAAAAATAAATTCGATTACAACGAAAAAATGGAACTCTTCAACAAGAACAAAACTTTCTCCAACACAAAAATATTTCTCCTCTTCCTCGGTATCCAAACACTGGGTTTCCTAAAATTCACAAAGAACTAGAAATTAACAAATGGTGTCGAAGCACACACTGTAACAGAATCAATTCCAAATTCTTTCGTACAAGGCACTGGCTAGTCTCAACACCTTCAAAAATGCTAAAAGCATGTGCAACAGAATCAGCATCTGCATACCTATCTACAATGGGTCTATTTCTAGCAGCTGAATACGATGGAACCACAGGTAATGGTCGCAAAGTGAAATTACCCATATCCTCCAAACTCGACTAAGTAATATTCTTTAATATAGACCCTAAACCAAATCCCAAAGGTACAGTACCAAACTAAATCTCCACTAAGTAGTTCTCGGCTATGTTGATCTCATCTAAAATATTTGATTGCATCCCATAACTTGTAGTCAAACTACCTTTGTTATGCAGTTTGTTGCAATTCTTCTTAATGTATCCCTGCCTTTTGCAATAATAACAAACCTGATTACTGAAATTTGACCTCAATTTACCCCTCCTCTGATCACCATGAAAAATAAGGGCTTTATAATACCCTATATAAAATATATTATGAGGCATAAATGCAAGTTTTTAAGATTCTAGGGTAACTTAGCAACTTTAACATTTTATAAGGACTTTGTACTAATAATTCTAATGATAGAAAATATGAATTTTAATGAAATTACAATTTGATATTTGGATATCTATTGAATTATTATCGAATTATTTGATATAAAGATGTTTAACTAAGTTTAGAATTTTAAGGTATTTATACCTAGAAAATAAGAGTTTTAATGAAATTATAATTTAATAATTGGATATCTGTTGAGTTATTATCTGGATATTTGATATAAAGGTGTTTAGGTATGTTTAGAATTTTAACATATTTATACCTTGAAAATAGGAGTTTTTACGAAATTACAATTTAATATTTGGATATCTATTGAATTATTACCATATTATTTGATATGAAGGTTTTTAGATAAATTTAGAATTTTAACATATTTATACTAGAATCTTATCCTCATGTAGTTAGAAATTTATGTGATAAGTTTTTTTTGTTTTTTTTAGGAGTCCAATTTAAATTCTATTAAGAATTCTATTAAAATTCTAGGTAGGTCATTATCAAAATCACACCTATAAATACCCTCTTGTTCTGCAATTCAATTAACACAAATTCAGAGGGAAAAAGAACAGAGAAAGAAGGGAGAGAGAAAGAGGAAAAAAAGGTGATAAAAAAAAGGAGAAGGGAGATGAAAGGAAAAGAATAGAAAAATAAAAGAAAATAAAAGGTTTTCTAGCGTGTTCTAGATCCGTTCGCAAGAATTTTCACTCCTAAGTTGCTCATGTACACAAGGAATTTAACAGATTAGGCATGGATTTCTCCAAGGACGGACCCACATGGGGTCATGTGGGGTTAGGGATATCAATCGGGCTCGTCGGCTCGAGCCACCCGTCACTCGGCCCGCAAAAAGCCCGAGCGGGCTCGGCTTGAGGCTCGGGCCGAGCCCCATTTTTGGGACATGGGCTTTGCCCGAGCCGGCCCGCGAGCCCTTGTTTAAAAAAATATAAAAAATAAAAAATAAAAAATTGTTATGACTGTAATTAAAATGCTGCCAGCTGCTGCCTTAAAAAGGCATCAACTTATTTAAAAAAAAAAAAAGAGAGAGGGAGAAACTCGGGCCGGCTCGGCTCGAATCGGCTCGGAAAGGCCCGAGCCGAAAGCTCGGGTCGAGCCTAAAATTTTTGGGCGAGTTTTTGCTTGGCCCGGCTCGGACCTCGAAAAAAGCTCAACAATTTTAACCGAGCCGAGCTTGAGCCTCAAGTTTCGGCTCGCAAGCTGACTCAGTTCGACTCGTTGACAACCTTATGTGGGGTTAGTTGACCTCACAAAAATTTTCAGATTTTTTTTATTTTTAACCAAATGTCTCAAACCCAATTAAACATAACATTGATCCATTGCCTGTCTGTTTATCCATCTATGGGATGCCATTTGCCAAGCCCATTTGTTGATTTGCACACAAGCCCAGTAGTAATTAATAATATGTTGTTTTAGAAAAAAATGTAATTCAATTTTTGACCCCACAATGTCGAATGTCTGGCTCCGTCCCTGAATTTCTCTAAATGCAAAGTGGTTTTGTGTTACCACTTTTTAATGTTTTAAGTTAAGCATTTTATATGATCTAAATTAAAGAATGATCTTGTGGGTAATACCACAGGGTATCATAATGTTGATTTATGTAGAAACCATCCATAGGGCTAAATACCCTAAGGAGAGATGGAGAATGGGTATGACCTAAGTGAGAATTATACGGGCAGGTTCTATCCCACTACAAAATTATGTTAAGTGCGTACTTTACTTGCTTTTTATATTAAATTGTGAAAATACTATCATGAAATCTGTATTGAGCGTATTCATTCCATATTCTAGATTATTTTTATCGATGCTTGATGGGTAGGAGTTGGAGGTTGAGACTGATGACAAAGTACGCGTAGCAAGATGAAGAATTTAAGATTTTTTTTTCAATATTTTGTATTGAATTAGAAAACTATTTTTCAATTCGATTTTTTTTTATTTAATGTTCAAAATCGATGTTGAATTTTTAAAAATAAGTGCTGGATTTATACTACAGTAGTTGATTAGATTAGTTAACATTTTTATGAGAAAATAAAATAATTTATTTTATTTCACGAAGTTCTTCAATTTATTTAATTATTTATTTTTTGTATTACAAAGTGTAAATCAACTTTTATAATTGCTAAATGAAATATTTAAGTAACTTTCGGGACATTAGATTCTCTATCTCTTGCCTTAGATCCAACCAGATGCTTTATATTCTTTTTTGAAAATAAGGCCTCAAACGCATCTTCAATAGTAAGAATATCACGACTATACTCTCTAAACAAAATAAACGAAGTGAGCAACAATAAAAGGATTAAGGCCAAATCTTATTCATCATACTATACCTCTAAAGTCTCCAAATCAACAACGATCTATTTGAATATGACTAGATGATCTTTTGAATATCTGCATTCTACCATACAATGAGAATACAACCTCTGCTTCTAATGCAATTTGCTTGTTAGGTTTTTTAGTCATGCCCACTTGCATCAACTTTAACCATGATGCAGCTGTCTTTTTCTCGTTCAAAACATTATGGAAAAAATTATTAGAGAGATGAAGATGGATTTGTGAAAGTGCCTTCGGATCCTTCCATTGTCAAAGTTGCAAGCATTTTGTCAAATCCCAACAACTCATCATCCAAACCATCAGCATGTGTACTGCTCACATCTTCACTTGTCACAATGAGAATCTTATATTACGATCCAATAGCGAATTTCATACTTCATAGCTGCTATAAAAAATNGCTCACATCTTCACTTGTCACAATGAGAATCTTATATTACGATCCAATAGCGAATTTCATACTTCATAGCTGCTATAAAAAATGAAAACTTTGAACTAATTACAACAAATATCTTTGATACCACTTGTTGGGAAATAAAAGGGATCGAGATAAGATATGAGACATGATATGAAGTATATGATCACAAACAAACAACAAGATAAAATGCAAAGAATTAATTGTCAGAGGAGCGAAATTTTTATTCAATTGACGAATATGGAAAAAAATAAATACAATAATTGTGCCTACATGATTATTTTATATTTCAGTAATACAAAACTTGTGAAAAGAGTCTAGTATTTATAAGGATACATGTAAACCCGAAAAATACTACAAAGATGGAAACAAGATAAAAAATCATGCAGAATAAAGAAAAAATATTTTTCAAATAAAATCACACATAGTAAAGGAAATAATATTTTCCCAATAAAAGCGCATGGAATAAAGAAAATAATATTTTTCTAAAAATTTCAAATTGAATTTGGGTCAAAAACCCACCACTAGGCTTAGTGCAATAGCAAAAACTGCACCCAGAAAAGCCAAGACAGCCCAAGTGCTGCTAAAGTGGTTGTGCATCCATTCAGCAATCCATACTTGTCTTTTATTCTTGCAGTGTTTTTCAATCTGCTACTTAGCATCTGCATAAGCGCAAGGATCGGGCTTCGACGTAATGAGCAAGTCAGAAGGGCCATGTGGACTAATTTCATAAGCCGCTAAGTTTAATAGCAAAGGCTTGAATCACCTTCTTCTGGTTCAGTTTCCCTATTATTTGAAACTGTTACTTTCTGTATTTGTTAAGATGCAGATGAACTGATGACGAAGCAACCATCAAGAAACATCATTCTGATGAACAATTCACCATCATGGATTTCGGTCAAGACTTCTTCGTAGCATTCGCAGGCACTGTCAGCTACCATCGCCACCTCTTCATATAACCGTTTGATCAATACTTGATCCCTACGGGCACAAACAAATTGCTGAGCAATGTTTCGAACTCAGGATTTCCATGATGATAAGGGCCTATGGAAACAACGAGAGGATTATGACATTTCTTGTTGGATTCAATCTCACACAATATTGATGGAATATACACATGTTTGGATTTCGTATATGTTTGGTAAAGCCTTTCGTAATTATAAGATGTAGGTCTTACAGACTGTCGATCAACAACTTGAAATTCCCAGTTGTTATGTGGTTGTTGATAACTTCAATAGTGTGCCTTAGCTTATGGAAGGCATATGGAATTAAACAAACATTAACTTTGTTATCGGAGTTCAGTATCACATTGGATCTAGAAAGAATTGCCATCTTGCCATGGAAGGTGGAAGTGCAAGTCATTTTAAAATTATGATATATTAGTTTTATTTTTTTCATAATCGTCATTCATATAATATCTTGCAATACATAAGAATCGAATCGAGAAAGTTGGATCAACTGGAACATCATTCTATTATTACACCAGCATACGATTAAGAACGCACAACAATGGAAACAAACAGTAGAATACCAAACTTTTGCAACTGAGGAGCTTATTCGAGAACATTGATTTAGGAAGTCTTGTCTTCTCAGGTTTGGCGCGGATAAACAGCAAAATATGTCTGTACCATAGTAAGGGCAAGGGCGAAAATTGCACCTAGAAAAGCCAAGAGAGTCCAAGGACTGGTAAAATATTTGTGAATCCATTCAGCCATCCAGATGTGTCCTTTTTGCTTGCAATGTTCATCAATCTGCGACTTAGCATCTGCATACGCAAAAATATCAGGTGCCAAATCAGTAGACAACTCATTAAAGAATTCTGCCAATTGTTCGTCACTGCCTAAGTGGTTGATAAGAATTCTTCTCTTCTTGAGCTCTTTAACATCATCAGCATGATCAATGAGTGAATTCATTAGACAAATGTATGACGTAATGTACAAATCAGGAGGGCCATGGGGACACATTTCATAAGCCACCAAGTTCAATAGGATATTTTTTGATACATCATCAACCCTGACTGGAGGAAGTGAAAGAATACCATAAATAAGGCGAGATTTGAACTCTACAACAGTAAGATTTCGAGTTTGACTTGGTATGAAAAAAATTCCTGCTGATTTGAGCTCGGTTACTGAAAGATACAATTCCCGGCGCATTGCATCCTGATTTGTTCCTTTAGGCTGAAGAGGGAAGATGAGCTTTTCCCGCAAAAAATGTAGAAGATGAGGGCTTTCGTCCAAATTTGGTTTCTCTTTTGCATTACTTTCAGAGCAGCATCCCGTCATTTGTTTAAGAAAATTCTTGACAGCATCAGTGCATGAATTTGTTTGAGGTGGCTCTATGGAGAACAGCTCAAGGAAATTCTCAATATAATTTCCTTTAAATTTTTTCATGAATTTCATCAAAACATTTAGTACTACTAAAGGAATTTGATTCTCTAGCAAGAACAAGTCCCCCACCACATGGTATAAATTCTTATACAGTTGTTCATATACGTCTTTTAGTTCCTTATCCATCCAATTGGAAGAATTTTCCATCCGTAAGATGAACATAAAATGAAGCACAAAGCAAGCATCAAGAAACATCATTCTGTTGAACAATTCATCGTCATAGCGAGCAGTCGGGTCTTCCTCATAACATTCGCGGGCACTTTTACCCACCTTTGCCACCTCTTCATATAACTGCTCGATGGAAACTTGATCACAACAGACATGACAGAATTTCTGCGCAAATGGAATTTTCATCTTCTCGAATGCTTGGAACTTTGGATTTGCATGATGATAAGGGCCGATTGAAACTAAGAGAGGTTCACAACAATTTTTGTATGATTTATGCTTACGCAGCAGTAATGGAACCCTTTCTATTGGGGTTTTCTTTGTTTTTTCGTGAACATATTTATCTATAGAAATCAACCACTCATCCTTGGTGTTGTCGCTTGTGATTTTAACAACTTGGTTATCTTCTTCGGCTTCAACTGTAGTCATCCCTTGGACTTGAGCATGAATTTGAGTCAGCAAATATTATTAGCAGCTTGTTTGATAAAATTTAATCAACTAATCAAAATTTAATTTTAATCACATTTGTTGGGATTCACAATGTTTATCAACTTTTCGATCACTCATTTCTTCAAATTTTTATTGAAGTATATTTATGTTTTTATCAAAAACTTTGTCAAACAACCGAATTTAGGTCAACTGTTATGTGATTTGAGAAAAAAATTTGAATAGATATTTACTACTAGAACTAGGACATGTATAGCAAATTTGGAAGCTTTCTAGGCTAGGCACCTAACAATGGTTATTCCGACAACTACGTTTATTCCAACAACAAGGGAGTGATGCATGTTGAGATTTTCATGACAAATGAACTCGCAAAGCCTTTACCAACTGTTTTCAGACCGTTATGTATGTTATTTTTCACATTAAACAACTTTATGCAAATACATTAGATTTTGGCGGAGAATTGGTGCATATATGTGATTACAGTAATCAAATTAGATTGAGAACTTGACGAGAATTTTGAAATTTTTTACTTCTATATCCAATTCTCACTCAAAAAATAACCTATGATTATTGAATGCAACAAAACATTAGATAATATACAATAATGATTAGTTGTGAAATATGTCTATATTAACAATTAGACATAATTAGAAACAATATATAAGTTAGAGAAAAATGTAACAAGAAGAACAATATTTACGAAAAATCCCTCGGGTGGAGTGGGGTTACCTTTTGATTCCATCGAGGATAAGTAGCAGATTTATATTTTCAAGAGAACTGAAAAATATAGTGTTTGAGTAATAAGTAAATTTTATTATTGTTATTTTTTTTTTGTTTGTAATAACATATGAAACATTTTCTTGTATTTATACTTGTCATAAGAGGGGAATATCTTAGACGAACTTAATTCTTTAGAATCACTTTAGAAAACTTCCTACTTAATTTTCAGCAAATTTTAAGCATAGAATAATGGTACAGTGTAAAGATGATGCTTATCTTAGAGCAAGATTACAAGCATTGAAAATACTTATAGAGCTTGTTTGGGAAATTATTTTTCAAAAGCATTTTCTATCACATATTTTATGGGACTCATAATTTTAATTTCCTTATAAAAAATATTTTTACTTGAAAAACTCTCTCCCAGAAAAGTTCTTAATTTGACTGCAAACAAAACATAGACTACAAATAGTAAGACATATATGAGCTTAAGATGTGTAACTTAGTAACTTACTAAATATATTTCACAAAAAAATTACAACATATGGAAAGTTGTCAAACAAAGGTTAGCACTTTGAGTTTGAATAAGCAAAATAGTTCCATTACACATATTGTCTAAAAGAATTATAGAATTGATTTCAAGACAAGCTTAGTACAATATTAAAGTTGGGGTTGAACAAGCAAAAATATTATCGCAAGTGTATTATCGTATGAAAAGATCTCTCCTTAAATTCATTTTAATTTCACTATTTAACAATTTGATTGTAAATCTTGCGTTCATTATAGTTGACATCATATTGTATACTCTTTTATATGTTTGGTAAGGTGGGCAATATAATATTAAACAAAATTAAAGAAAAAAGGAAGTTAAAATATTCATTATTATCATATGCAGTTAAGTGTAATACTGCATTGTACATATTATTTATATAAATATTTTTATGGTCTCCTTTGTTCATTTGTTTCGAGTTACTTACGAGTAAACAACAAATAGACCGAGTAATATAAGTACAATGCAAGAGTATGCCAATCCTAGTGATGTATTTAACACAAAAGGAAGTACTTTAAACTACTTTAACAAAGCTTAGAATTGTGTTGGGAACTATCTTTCACAAGTATAAATTATTAACCCAATAGACACATAATGCAATCTTAAATAAAAAGCAAAATTTTAGTAGATTTTGATAAAAAAATGATGGAATGTGTGGTTGAAAAGTTGTGAGTCCCATGAAATATGTAGTTAAAATTGATTGTTGATTTTAACTTAGATTTTAATCAACTTTTTTAACTAAACCAAACAAGAGCTTATTATTTTTGACGGTTATGATTTCTCCTTAGCATTTCGTCAAAATTTTAAAATTCTAAGTTAAAATAGGAATATTTCCTCTATATTATAGGAGGATGATAATAGAAAATTTGAGATCTATAAGAATGCAATTTTCATTTATCGATAGCATGGAGGTTATTATCAACTATTCATTCAAAACATATTTAGTAAGGTGGAGTAAATAATATTGCATATCATTAAAAAGGAAAAAAATATAATATTATCTATCTATTGTATAATTTTATTCATTATTGTATACCAAACACGTTGTTAGTGACGACAATCAACAAAATGAAGATCAAAATGGTTGGATTTTCCTTCAACTTGTACCTGAGAAATAATGTGTAACCGTTAAATTGAGGTGCAATTATCTCACTTAGGGAGATTTGGGATTTAGTTTACTCGACTTATACAAGCACATATAATATGTCATTCCATATATGTGTAATTTTTTAGCCAATTATGTGACATTGTTAAAGAAAAATAAATTGAAGTTTTGAGAGGTTTTCATATTTGGCAATAACAACATGACTATCTCTTTTGTTCATCTCTTTACGTGATACTTATAAGTTAAAATGAGGAGACCTAACAACTCATAAATATAATGTAACAATATGTTGTATTTTCACGTATAAATCCTAGTATTTCATATGTATCACAAAAACAACCATTTTGAACCACTTTATGCACATAACAAGTTAATAGAGTAGCGTTATTTTTATATGTAATACTAAATCAAAGTTTATAGCATAGTCAAGTTTTTCGTATATCTTAAAAATTTTACAATTTCTCCAAAGTAAATATATGAATATTGTGGTAACCATAGAAGAACGATAATAGAAACTCTAGATTGATAAGCAAGCAATTTAAGTTTGTCAAGTGCGCGCCTCGATGTCATATCAGTGACTTACAAACATTTGTCACATGTTTAGAAATGTGAATCTAACAGTATTATCCTTACACGAGTCATGGTTGTTTCGTGCTTTTTCAACTCCTTTTCGACATACCATGCCAATCCAATCTGGCTAAGATCGTAGGA